CACACACACACACACACACACACACACACACACACACACACACACACACACACACACACACACACACACACACATGGGCACCATGCCCTTTGCAACTTCCTGTGTTCCTCATCACAAGCTCCTTCCAAGATGAAACATCTCCATGGGCCTGCATTTCTCTCATGGGCATCTTCTCTGCCTTCCCTGCATGCTTTGAGCCTGTCTTCCTTTCGCTTTCATCAGTGCTTGAAACTGCATGTACCTCATGGGCATCCTGTCTGCTTCTTGGCCACTGCCTGCACAACCTTTTGTGGCCTGGTCTTGTCAGAGGGCGGCCAGGATCCTTGAGCAGCAGGGCACTGATACTGGCTTGGTGCAGCAGGTTTTTAGCCAAACACAGGCTTTGGGCTCCCAGTTGAGGTGATTAAGAAGACCCATGCTCTCAAAACATGATCACAGACCTGGTCATGGTCAGAAGGCCTTCAGCTCAGACACCACATGCCTGTACAAGCCACTCACACCCCCTTCGCTTATCCCATGGGACCTGAGCGGTCAGGACAGGCGCGGCCTCCTATAATTGCCACAATTGTTGAGAGCTTCAACCTTCACCTCACAAAGGTGAACCTCATACCTTGCTTGTCACGAAGTTGAACGTCACACCTTGCTCGTCAGCATACGTTGCTTGTCACAAAGTTACTTCGCTGATCCTAAAAGTCCAAAGCTGGGTTGAAAGTTGAGGGTCAAGAAGACCCTTCCATTCACCCTTAGGCTTGTCTCCAGGGCCACATACTGACTTCATGATGCAGGGCGGTAGCTGAGGTCCATGCACTTCTAGCCTTTTATTCTAATTTTCATTCCTATTGGGCTGGTCTGGACACAGGCCTCCGTGTCACTGCTCAGCTGCCCCTGTAGGCAGGTATAGCGATGTGACCATACCTTACCTTACCTTGGGCCCGGGCATTCACCACCAGACTGTCCCAGGATCTCAGAAACGTTTGGGCCTCCCACAAGCACCAAATGTACCTTCGCTACCAAATGTGACGAAGACGAAAGCGCCTGATCAAAAGGACGGAGCCACACCTGGTGGTCAAGTACCACCAAGCACTTTTTGACTCGCCTTGGCTACTTGCTCTATCTCCATGTACCTCTGAGTTCACACCTCATTATGCAGCGCCTTCAGCAACACCATCCTATCGGCAGCCACCAAATCATCCGGACTCCTATTACAGCAGAGCGGGTGGATTCGCACCACAGCCTTCTGGCATCCTGTCCACTCACCACTAGCTTGTCCCAGGAGCCTAGAGAGGTTTGGGCCTGCATGGCCTCCCATAGGCACCATGATCGTGAGAAGATGGTGCCATGTCTGTCAAGCAGTATCACCACCCGCTCAGAGCTCTGCATGTAGGCGTGCGTGCGTGCATGTTTGTGTGTGTGTGTGTGTGTGTGTGTGTGTGTGTGTGTGTGTGTGTGTGTGTGTGTGTGTGTGTGTGTGTGTGTGTGTGTGTGTGTGTGTAGCGTGCAACTCAGGGCAAGAACAAGTTGTGACAGCGTTTTGGTCTGTGAGTGCAAGCATTTGCATACAAGCAT